TGGGACAGGTGGTCGCCTTATCCGAGTGGTCGCCTTGACAGGTTTTACTGTAATCACAACAGCTATCTTGCCGCAATCAATAACTAACTACAGCAACGGAAAGTTCGCATAGAACGACAGGGAGCCCTCAATTACTCTACGTACACGGCACATTAACCACTGTTTTTGCTTGGCTTGCCTTCGCTTCAGTCACGATATTTCACTGATGAAAGTAACCTGAAATATATTATGGAGAACCTTTGACTTCGTTGATGCATGGTGATGATGGCAGAGTTACTTCTATTTTTTTTTAAATCTGCCACGTTCCTCGCCATTTATGATTCTTGAAGGTTAAATACAAGATTTCGAGCTGAAACAACCATTGGTCCTTAGCGATAGTTCGAATGTTCATTACGACGTCATTGTTATGATATACAGTAGACCAGAACTCGTTCCTTGTCCGTATCGTGTCTGTATCCCACACCGGTACGGGGCTTGCACAGCGAAAGACTGTAGGTATATGCATGGGGTTGTTGCGCAATGCCATTGCAACCAGTAGCGTATAAACAGATTTCAGTGCTGATCGATCGAAGCAAAGTTTGCTGCCGTCCGAAATGAGTGGCACACAATGGAGCCGAGTCATGCTAGAAGTTTGGTTGTGTGCAGAAGAGACCGATTCACTCCAAAACGGTGTACAGTAAAGACACTTACCAAGCCCATGAGGTAGTCATTCTGGTCGGAGCTGATGATCTCGGCCAACTTTCCGCCGCGGTTCTGGCAGTCGGTCTGGGCACCAGCAAACGGCATGAGCTGCTCACCGGGCGGCCCGTCGCCCACGAATCTATAGCAATTGGGTCCAAACTGATGGGGAAAATCAGCCGGGCACTGGGCATGGATGGTGCCTGCGGAAGCAGATAAACAAAGTTCAAAACAAGCACAGCAAAATTACTTCAAGTTATAATATTATTACTTGCGTGGATCGAGCAATATAGCAGGGCGATACCCTGTAGGCTCTAGGCAACAAGACCTTTATCAACAAATGCAATACTAATGGTAACGTTTTAAGATGAGCTGTTCGGGCAATGAAATTCGACCAAGCCTGCCTGCTAATGTACACGGTTCGCTGTACTGGGCGTTGGATTGATGAAATCACATACATGTACATGGACTCACCAAATAGTGTCGCCACGGCGAAAATGGCGAGCGAGAGGAGCTTCATGGCGGCGGCAATTCACAACGGTCTGCGGTGCTGCAGGACAAGAAGACGCACAAAGCACACATCACAAACGTATGTATCACATGTGTGGATGAGTCACGGAGCCGTGTCGCTTCCTCCCTCAATAGCCTGAGGTATTTCCGAAAGAGAGAGGATGGGATTTCCTAACGAAAGGGAAGTAGATTAGCTTACTGATAGACCAAGAGGAGTACTAACAACCCACATTATTATATTCTAGGACACTGTACTCGCTGCAACAAGAATGGAGTGATAAAACCACACTTAAAGAATCAAGTGCCACGAACTAAGCTATTACTCGTCATGCAAATGGTGGCTGGTGCCTATCACCGCATTGGCAAAACTCAAGCGCTACATTCCTGGCTGCTCGGGGACAGCCCACCGAACCACACGAACCTATTCCCCCCATACAGTAATGCATTCCGCTACTCAGAAGACTAGAATACTACAGGAACAGATTGATGCAAACAAGAAACGATTTCAGGGCGTCTAAACTCCCAAACGCCCTAATGCTGGTCGGACTTCGTCTTTTCAATTCCTGTCGGAAGGGCTCTATTTGTTTGCTGGAACTCACCTCAAACGTCAAACTTTATGATAGGGTCGGTTGTTGCTTTTCCGAAGATCTTCACCAAGGAAGAACCTTTTTATACCCGTGCATTTTTCATGTTCGAAGGGAGGCCGAAACTGGAGACAATACGCGGAGGACTGTTCCTAGCAAGGAGAGTCAGTCGATCATAATGCTCGTTCTTGGTGGTGTTGGTGTTGGTGCGTGAGCAATGCACAACTGCAATGTGCAACGTGAGCTTGCTTTCGCTGCAGGAAATAAATTGAGTCTTATTTTGGTTGCCGAAGCGCCATGGGTGCATATTGCTGTATTTTTGGCCTCACCTAAGGTGCTACAGGAAGCCTGAAGCGCTGTACGTCATCAGCTGGAATTTGCACATTAAAAGCCCGATAGATGGGGCCAGGGGAGTACGGATGTGCATGCGCTCTGCGCAGTGCTGGGGGTGCACCAGTTTGCATAGTCTAGCTCAATCATCCGTTGATCATCCTGCGAATATTTTCATGCCATCAGGATTTGGCCGCAACAGCCTAAGAATATTCGACTGTTTGCACCTGCTCATGGTAACCACTGCGACATGTCCAGAATTCAGAGAACACAGGCGCCAGGCGGCATACAATAATGTCCATGACGTAACCTCACACTTGCGGGTTTCCACCAATAGGCTTCGAAAGTCTAGTTCCACAACATCAGTAATCCACAGGGTTGTACATGTACATATGCTATGAAGATTCTTGACAACAATGAACATTAGTTTGCTGGGCGTAGGTGAGAAAACTGGCCAAACCGGACCGTCTGTGACCTGATCAAGGCTATTTTTACCTGCCCCACTGCCCCAGGACCGAGCCAAGAACATGTTGCAGCAATCGGCTGCAGCTGCTTGAAAACTGGAATGCTGGATTTTTCAAAGATCAAGTGGAACTCACTTAGTTCGTACTCTGATCAGACGTAATCTCGATTACTACGGACACTGTACGGAGCACAAGTGCATTGGTACATACTTTTAAAGTATGTTAGGATGGGATGTAACTCGGATACACAATCCTGCTGCTGCCCAAGGGTGTACGTCTCATCAAAGGTCTACTGTACATGTCGCAAAGATGTGGATGAAAATTAATGTCGCTCAGGATGCGCTCAGTGAGATTATTCGCTCGAGTACATAATTCCACAAGTGTCAAGTTCGGCTGGAAGCGTGTGTTCCTCAGTAGAACAACCAACTTCAGTAAATTCCTGTTCTAGTTTGTCAATGGGTGCAACTCTGAGCAGTCACCTTTCGAGACAACGAGATTACTCACTATTTCCGCCTTTCTCTGACTTCTGTACCACACAGATCATCAGAATCTATATTCACGTTGCAGACTACCACCAGGGTGGAATTCAGCCGTTAAAAGCAACATTATCTACCGTGCATGAGCTGGCTCTTCACCGACTTCAGACCACTGTTCAACAGTGCAGGCATGCTTGTTCCACACTATGCTGCTAAGTGAAATCCGGAGTCAGTACCACACCAGGCGCTGTGCTACCCCCATAATTATGTACATGTACCGACCCTGGGATGTGAACTGGTGCAGGGCACACACGTGACTCACTTGACCGGATTTCATTATAGCAGCACTGTACACGTTCTTTTTGAGACCTCAAATTCAAAAGCACACGAGTAGGCGTGATCAACAACACTCACCCGTTGAAACGGAGATAGAGCAGATGTGATTTTTTTTTTTTTACTTTTATTCACAAACCCAACTCGTAAAATAAATAATTATGTGGACAAAAACAAAGATGGGCCGAGTTTGATGACGGTAGTGGGAGTAATATGATGTACATGTACAAGTACATGTGCATTGTAAATTGTATATGTACATGACTACTTACCCATACGCGGATTCCGTGTAGAGTCTGCTCTAGCTGTGCTATTGTATTGGCACGGACTATGCTGACGTACGCGAGTGGAGCGTACAAAGGTTTGGCCGTAATCGTATCAGCGGCGCTGATTGGCGTAACGTTGTCCAAAGGGCTACTATGGAATTAACACATGCTTGAGCAAACTCGATCTCTGGGCCTGCCGGCAGTGCCCTGGGACCAGTAAATCAGTGGGTTCTCCTTTAGCGGACGCGTCCTTCGTTAACAAAGTAGCGGACACCCGGTGGCGGCAATTGTGCGAATGACCCATGTTCACAGAGGAACTGGGTTCGAGGGAATTCCTTACTATGGTCGGGGAAATAGCGATGTCCTTATGCGCATTACAAAAAGGAATATGGCCACGACAACGTCAATGGGCAATAGTCCTGGGCTCATCCGCCCTTTCTCTATGATCAGGAGCGCATAACTTCGGTACCAATATGCGGAGAAAAGAGATCTGTGCGTTCATGAGGTCCTATTGTACAGCTCAGGCCTGTGACATTCGACCTCATGATACATATGTGTATTAGCGTGTTGAGTACCGTGGTAGTACTCATCGTGCTAAAACCGTGCAGCGCCCGCACTAGAATGCTCAGACCGTCGACTTTTACGTACCAGTGTTGGTACGTTGAGAAATGAGCTGTTTTGCTTATGTTAAGTCAATCAGATTTTATTAAAGACCTCACATCAGTGAAACGACGCCAGGAAGAAATGGAGAATATTGGAAAAAAATCCAGAAACAAAAATTAAAACAAAAAGGGAAGTAAGGAAGCAGAAGGCGAAAGCGAAGTCTAACGTTATGAACGTCCCAGATCCAAATCGCAGCGCCCATGATCAGTGAAGCTAGCCGATCAATGAAGCTGACACCATTTTGTAGAAGGGTGTGCTCTAAGGCTGAGTGCCGATGCCAAGTGTTGCGACTGTGTCGTCTATTGTCGTCTTATCGAGTTCACACATTTCCCAGCCCTGAGAAAGGCTTTTTTTGCCGCACGGCTACGCCCGTTCTAAACGGAAGTACAACTCTCTAGACAAGTCCATCTCCAACCGAGGACGATGAAAGTACGAACTTGGGTTGGTACTTGGGTCCCTACTTGCTCCTTCTTTTTCCTTTTTATCTCCTTATGATCAGTGTTTCGGGCCTCTTGGTTGTGGTACATTGTACTATTGAGCCACCAAAGTAAAATAAATTCAATACAATACACAATAATACTTTATAGCTTTGCTTTGTGAATAAACCCGCTCTAAAAAGTACTTGAAGAACGAACTCATTGTCAGTGAGAAGCCTTCATGAAGCCAGGTCTTCCGTATTCCGATCACTGTGTAGCATTGTGTTCTTTTCAGTCTCAGATCAAAGTTGTAAGTCAAACATATTATTTCAGAACTGTCGGTGCCCCTCCAGCTTTTAGCCTGACTGCTTTTAGAACATTTGACTGACACTTTGGTCATCTACGTATTCAGGCCACGCACCACAAGTGACACTACATGTTTTCATGCACTTCGTGAGCCCAAGGGGTTCCCCGAGTCCAGAATACAATGGATGTGTAGAGGGTTTCTAGAATATTTGCTCTGTCCCAGGGGGGAGTCCGATAGTGATACACGGTGTTGGATTCACATTCTGGTTTGGAATCATCGCCGATGCACTGCCCAACTATGAATGTTTTACTGTTCTCAGCGTGCAGTTCGTTCGTCTTACTGCCCCGCCAGGCACTGTCGGCATTTGTGATCTTGTAGACTTGTACCGGCAAATACAAGAGTAGAAAATTTATGTTTAAGAATTCAAGAAACGAGAGCTCCCTCGTTGCCAATTCGTAAACCTGCTTGAGTTACAAGGCTACACTGGCCAGGGCTCGAACAGCAATACGAATCGTACTTGCAATCTTTCTCAGCTTTCTGCAGGAATATCATCTTGCGTAGCCTTTGACAATTGACTGTGGAACACTTAGTGCGTACTCTGAAAAACCATACTCTTTGCTTACTACGGTCATTATCCGAAGTACGGGTGTGTTGATACTTACTGCGTGCATGTATGTTGCCATAAGAAAAAAACGTCGGATACTAAGCACATTTTCTCGCTACCCACGATGGCACGTTTTACCAGAGCTCTACTGTATCTTATACACGACTGCTTCCATCCAGAGTACGGTGTCCTCGGGAGTCCACATCGTGAAAATAATAAGCACAACACTCAACTTGCAAATTACGCTCATCGAGATGAGACGCAACGGCGAAGGGCAGCAGATCCTGGGGACTCTCTTTGTCTGCGTTAACACACCGTAGGGAGAAGAGCACCAGCTGCTGTGAGACTAGCAACATTTGCTGAGATCTGGACGCGACAATTTCGGTTAGCAAACATTCCATGGGCATTGCGAATGCGATGATATCGTTCAACCCAATTTTTGAGTCGATATCCGAATGGGGTGTTGGCCGAAACCACTCATTGTAGCGTGGATTCACAGGAAGCACGAAGCCCGAAGAAAATTGTTGAACGGCCTCTGACGGAATGACTGCTACACCATAGCTCAGTAGTCAGAGCATCGCTGACCTCAAGCGAAGGTCCCTGATCCGAGTCCTGGTGGTGAGTCTTTTTTTCCTCAGACTTTTTCCCGTTTACATCTTTCCCCTACATCAGTGAATATGTAGAAGATAATATTTATGGTGCTGATAAAGTTCCAGAGACGCCCAGAAAGTCCCTCTTCTCTCGTGTTATGTAGTGCAGAACCAGTGATCCACTCGCCTGGTCAATGTGTTTGTTGTACGTGTATGGACCAGGCGAACAGCAATCCACCAGCTTGATCCGTGAAAGGAAGCTTGACGATGTCTTTTCTCTCCTCTTTCCCAGGACATTAGTTTTAGGTATTATGGTTGGTTGGTTTATTTTAATTCGAACAATAAACGGGAACTAAGCTCAATGATACATGTACATGTAAAAAGGCGAATGGACGTTCCGCAATTATCATCCCAGTATAGATGGTCAAACTTTGCATAATAATATTAATAATATGATCTACCGCGGGGCTCTCTTACCATGTGTATTATTCTAGACTTGAAATGCAAAAGAAGGGCTTGAAACTGGTTGTGCCATGTCCGGGTCGTTGCTGATACATGTACATGTACAATGTATGTGCTCCGTAGGAAGGATGCATTTCACGACACAGAATTATGCGGTGTTGACTCGGAAAACCACCGGTACTTTCCCCTGCACTTGGGCCGCCAGTCACAACACTAACAGCTCTGGAAGAAGTGTGCCTAACGAAGGTAAACACACTCCCAGCACCCCACATGGTACCACCACTAGTCTCTACGATCGTACGAGTGATAGTGAAATGGCACTTAGTATCACTATAGCACCCCTTCACCATGTTCACAGGTCGACTGATTGAGGCTAGACGCCTTCTGAATAATATTATGGTGCCCACTGCCCAGTAAACACCATACAATCCTACATGAGTACATTGCAAGGAACAGCCAGAGGCCAATAGACTCTCGCATGCCTAGTACTACTAGTAGGCGGCTACTACTAGCCTACTAGGCGCCCAGGTATTTCCAGCGCTGATGTCACCGCGCTACACAACGCGATTTCCGCACACACATGAACACATGAACGCCCTCGAGCAGCATGAATGTGTAACGCACATCCATCATCACTCACGACAAGTGATTAGGTACGGGTGTCGGGTGACAGTGTAGTAACATGAGCGTGTGGTGTACCTACAAATACACCAATGTTGCAGGAAAGTATCGAATTCTCAGTTGCTGCAGGGTAAGAACTCTTGCTCACGAGAACATAAATAAATGGCCTGGTCTTGATGAGCCACGGGCTCAATATCAGACACTGCCACGATCAGTTCTGTACGGCTGGTTCTAGAGAGTATACTAGTAATTTTTTTGCGTTTTTTTCACACATACAATAGTTTTCATTTTTGGTGTTGTGTTCTAATCATTCGCCATGCCACTGTCAATTGCATTCTGTTTGCCCGTAAAAGAGGCCTTTACAACCAAAAAGAAATAAAAAAATACTAGTAATTCCACCTCTTCACTTTACATACAATGTCATGCACATGTAGGATATCCGTCATGTACATGTACATGGTGAACATGCGAGAAGGTGTGCTATTTACACTCGTTCACTGTTGATGCATACACCCTGGCCTTGTTGCTCGCACATTCAGCTAGTCTTGGAAATCAAACTTTGATATTTTTAATGCATGCAATGGGATGAATAATTATAGATTTTACCGATTTTAGTTTCGTTGGACGATACTACTATGTACCGTATTGGCTAGGCGTGAACTCCGTGGATATTGTGAATCAAGTGTGCCGCTATCGCTCATAATGGTGGAAGGCGGATAATGGTAGAAGCTCTGCCCATTCTCCGAGAACAGGAGAGGATCCTGCTAGTTTAACTTTTATAACCACGTGCGTCTCCAACCTTTACCCATAATATCCTTCGGAAATCACTTCAGTTCAGCCATGGTCCCAGCCCATTGGAACGTGTCCATCGAACTACTTTGTAGAATATTCTGCAGCCACCGTGAAACAGCAATGACAAAGTAAACAGATTGATGCGACCTGAATCTTTCGAGAGCTGTGCTCGGGTTCTATTTTGAGCGGAAATCAATGTAAATTAAATTTAGGGTTTGCTATAAGCCTAGAACTGAAGGCTTCTGGCGTACTATCTGAGTGCCCTTTGTCCGTTTAACCCCAGAGACAAACAAATGTGAAGAGAGCGCCCTTTACTCGTGTGGTCGGCATTCTCGCAAGCACGATGTCGTACATGTTTGCACCGACGCATTGCAAATGTGGCTGGTCAGGCAGAAATCCTTGACTTTCCCCGTGCATTGCGCGAAGACCCGCAGGTCATATAGCCAGGAGAGGTCCCACTGGTGTCCGAACATCTGTGTGGAGAAAAGGCCGCTGTCTCTCGCCTGGCAGCAACTCAGCTGCGAACCAATCGACACCGCTTAATCAGCACTACATGCATAGCTTTGAAAACGAACACAATGAGTTTCCTGTCGAGTGGGCATGGATGACTCAACGATCACACATGCAGCAGTAGGTATGACGGAATCAAGACGTGCGATGGGGTCCATGACCGTCGTCGATTTGGCCTTGGCCCAGGGGCCTCGAACTCAGTACTGATTACGTGCACAGTCAACACAGTACTACGTGGACGTCGCAGAATGAAGTGCTGACAAGTTGCAAGCATTTGTAGTCGATGATATTATAGTTTGGACATACATTACAATCACGATGGATAATCGTCACGTGTACACATAGCAGACTCAGCGGAGGACGTTCAGGTTGGTTGTAACTCTGAGTTTCATGCCGCTAGGCAATCATCAGACAGAAGCTCTGTCTCTGACATTGAGCACTCTCTGCAGCTCGGGGATCAACGGATTCGTTACGTGTATACATATAATTATGTGTATTGTTATTGGTTTCATCTTCAAAATATTTGTTGTTCGAAGCATTGCTCTCCATCCCTCAACCCAGTCCATGTTATACCTCAACCCAGTCCATGTTTCATTATTTTTGCGAAATAGCTACTAGTACCCTATGGATGTGCATTCACGATCATGATGTCTATCCTTTATTATTGTTTTGTTATTGTATACTCTGTTGTCTTCTCCCCTTCTGACGAGTAGGATGTGTACTTAGTAAAAAAAAAAAAAAAAAAAAAAAAAAAATTGCGACTCTGTGAAAATATATAACTAGTACTCGAGAATAATGCATAGTAAACAGCTTCTTTGGAACCCACAAGTACACGAGCAGACTGTGTGATTCGCACAATAAGATACTAGTACTGCTGTTTTCTGATGATCGCTTAGTGCGTGGAGTAAAAACACTTTCTCTGTCCTCCTATTGTTTTAGGAATGGGTTTGCTCCCACACTGGAGCTCGGCGGAATAGCGCGAGCTCCAGTGTGGGAGCAAACCCATTCCTAAACAAAATCATCGCCGAAGTCGCACCCTCTATTTCGTACTCCTATTGTTTGATACTAGTATTGATAATAATGTGCGTGTACAGTGAAAGATCGCCATGGTGCGAACGATTTCGAACGTGTATGCCCCGAAGGTCACTTAAAGTTATACACATAATGCTTCTGATATGACCCGGCATTGGCATCATAACCGCAGGTGTTACTCTAACACCCTTATAGTTTGAATCATGTAGAGGATCATATCGAAGCTACGTGAGGCACGCATGATGTTACAGTAAAACCTGCATTCAACGGCAACTGAATTTAGTGTCTAGTTGCCTCATAGACTCTTCAAGACCCAGCCCCGCTTCTATACACATTTGAACCTGTGATGAACTTGAAAGACAACCTAACGATAAATACAGATATTTAGAATAGTATTTGCACAAGGAGGTGATCACCAAACACAAGTTTCATCGCTTCCAAAATTTATATTGACAAAGCTTACGGATCAACGTTTGCTAACAAACTGCCATCATACATTATCATTATGTGCCCTGCAGAGGTCATTGTAGGTGGTGAACCAAGGTACTTGTACATGTACATCTAAGGATACCTCAATCTGCTGACAGAACTGTTTCGTCCCTTACAGCAGTAATACTATCTAATGGTGAAATATTCCAACATTTCAGTTACCCTCTTCTTTATGCTCAGTAACGGAAACAGGCTGCGAAATCTAAACCTCTTCCGCTCGTACATTGTATCTCAAACATTGGCTTGGCGAAGGCACAGACAATCTGATGCTGGTGATACCTGCGCAAGAAGCCCGCGAAACACCTCGAAAACGTAAGAAAGCGGCGTGGGGGGGGGGAGGCAAATCACAAAACTGCAAGCAGAAACTCTTGCTTGAAGTCGCATCAATGTCCTGAAAAGAATCCCACAACCTTTCCCTACGTTTCAGAAACTAACACTCAGCAGAAAATGCGTTCTGGGGGAAGTTGGAGCTCCCAATGAGACAAAAAATATAATTCTTTTTATTTGGAAGTTGAAGGGTTCGGGGATTTGGTTACCGTTGTTTGTAACGGGCCTTTATAAAGCGTGATTCGGCTAAGGATCACGTCCGATTCTCAGCGAGGTCACCGCTCCTTTGCATTTGCGCATCATCACCGATCTCGGCCTACAATCTCCACTGCACGTACCACGTTGTTTCTCGGGAATTTGAACACGTCCTCCCGAGTCCCGAGGCATTGTTTTGTGGATTTGTTCTGAACTCGTCTGGTTTGGGGCGGGGAAGCACTGAACCCTTATCACCCCCCGGCTTGTGCTGAACCATATGGCAAAGCGCCCGTACATGCGCAGCGCATGCATTCATGCTAAAGAGTCATCCCGTCCTTTTGTTGACCGATCAGAGTCCCCTAGTCCGGGGGCCGTTCCAGCTTGTACCTCGTCCTCACCCAGTGACAAAGCGACGCAACAACAGTTACTGCTCCGTCTTGATCCCCTTGCTTTGCAGAACGTTAAAGCAAGTACGTGCAGACTCATCCACACAAACGTTCCACGTGTTGTGCACCAGGTACCGCCCAACTGCATTGCGGAATACGATAATTATCCACTGATCACGTCCAGGACATTGTACGCAGAGCGCACAAGCGACATAAGTGGTCTGTAACGTCACCGGCAGATTCAGCCTATGTACTGCTGGTTTTGCGCGTGAGCACACGCATTCCAGGGTCACAGAGACTGAGACAGTTGCCATGCAAATCACTGATCTGATCACTGCTTCGTATTGTTTTGACCAGGAAGAATTCTTATGAACTAGGGGCACAACATACCGATCTCTTCTTTGCTGTTACATACATGGAGCGTTGTAGAAAGAAATTGTTTGTCTCCTTCACACATAATCTTGCTGACAGGCGATATCGGCGAGCTCTAAACAGCGTGGGTTCAGTCAGACACATCCATCCAACATAGTGGTTTCTCTGCGTGACGCTCGCTGGACTCGACTCGACGGCAGACACAATGATCTTCATGCAGCTGCTATGGAAGCGGACCTAGAGTGTCGCCATTGCAGAAGGTCAATCGGAGCGGGTGCTCAGGCGATAGGCAGCAGTGGCAGCGAGAGGGCAATGTCAGCGTTTGGATCCAGGAAAACACGGTTACGACTGTACCATTACTGCCTGTTCCTAGTCTCTGCTTTTCTGATCAGAGGTGAGATAACTCAGATATATTGTATTAAAGTGAGCCGTAATCGATTAAATGTGTGCAATTCTCAGTAAATGCTGTGCGAAGCGGCATAGCGATAGTTGAACACGGGTGATAAAGAATACACCTGGCGGAATGGAGGTAAAGAGACGCCTCCCCATGCACATTCTCTAGTCCACCTTGGCAAGGTGTAAAGTTAGTTGCAATCTGGGGATGAGCTATCCTTAACACTGAACACCACCACCGTCAGATGTCCCTCTGCGTCTGGCAGGCACGCAGGATTTGGCTAGTGATATTTTTTACAAAGTGGGTTGGTATGTACACTGTATCAGATAGCAACTGCAGTGGAGTCTTTGCCTCCGGTAAAACCATGCTCGGAACAGAACGTTCAAAGTACATGCATGTATTATAACAATGGCGGGCAATAATACCTCGTTCGATGTGAGCAATGGATTAGTTACGGATGATACCGCTACGTCACTGATAAAACACAGGGGCAGGGACATCACCGTGGTGATTCACACAAATGGCCTATTCATTAAGTTTAGAAAAAAACACAGAGAAGGTGAAGATGGTTGTTCATGCAGCGTCGCGACGTCGATAACCAAACACGCAGAGCTACATGGGCCCTGGGCGTAAAACCCTGGTAGCACGGGGGTCGAACCCTCAATCCTTTGCTTGGAAAGCACGGGTCATACCACAAGGAACGTAGCCTTCGCCTCATACATGTACATGTACATGTGTACTCCAAGCAATTGATGCCAATCATCAGGCGCTGCATAGTGACGCGATCACTCGATTATAACGAAAATCTACATATCCATTATCCACACTTGACGGACTGAGTAGTTTGCCGCACACACACACACGAATAATGCATGCATGTGCATGTGCCTACAGTATGGTGTTGCGATGGCTGGGAATGCAATGTTTCAATCTCGCACACTATAATAATATTTATTATTATTTTTAAATCTAATTGTAGCAGTGTGACTGCGAGTGCTGCATCACAGCTGTTACGCGCTAGCTTACTGTTAGGCTACGGCCTGTCAGTAGGCATATGCGGATAGTGCCGGCAGAAAAAATTGGCAGAATTCGGTACTTTTTCTGGTAAGTTTCATGCATGTTTGGTATGTGGATAAAGAAATGGAGCAGAATTCGAGGAATTGCCCGCCATAAGGTTTGTATGGTTCTGCCAATTTCACCGCTTTTCAGTCGAGCAGAATCTGCCACCTTTTCGAGCATTATCCGCCAATGCCTAACGGCCTGTCAGCGCAATATGCTCGCGCAATCCATCTAGAATACCCCTCTTGTTCTAAGAACGATGTCGAATCCAGCAACACCGTCCTTCTGCGCATGCTGAACAGTTACACTATGGAGTTGAATGTCTGCTCCACACATTATACTTTGAAGTATCCCCTACAGATTTCCGAAAAACTATTTAAAAAACATACATGAAGTCTCTGACACTATTTTGATTGTCGTTCCACTGGAGCTGCTTCCCCCCCCCCCCCCTCCTCTCCTATATCCTGTGCTACTTGATCACATTAACACAGCATAAAATAGCATTGAAGCCATTATTAGATGGAAACGTGGCTACGGATCGATTCACTGGGCCTTGGAAGTGCTATTGCAACAGGGTAAATGCATGCTGTATGGTCACTATTTATCCACAAGTGGAACTGATGATGAACAATGTACATTGTATGTTTGTTTGGCGATCATAAAGCCTCTGTTATTGCCAAACAAGGTACAATTTACCATGGTCGCAGACTAGAACAGAATTCAAAACTGAAAACAATTGCAAGAAAGGAAGAATGAGACAAGTAATGAGAGACCCCCTTCAACTACGACAGAATTCACTGAAGTGAGGATGAGAATGTCATACATGTACATGTACACTCTCACAGAAAGAAAACGCACTCTGAGAACTTGTAGGCATTGGCGGATAATGCTCGAAAAGGTGGCAGATTCTGCTCGAAAAGCAGTGAAATTGGCAGAACCATACAAACCTTATGGCGGGCAATTCCTCGAATTCTGCTCCATTTCTTTATCCACATACCAAACATGCATGAAACTTACCAGAAAAAGTACCGAATTCTGCCAATTTTTCTGCCGGCAGAATCCGCAAAGGCCTACTGAGAAGTGACATTATGTCAACTAACCGATGTCAAACTGTGAACCGGCCACAGGAGACAACTGATATATTCATTGTGTATCATATCTGTTCTATTATGCATTATAGATGTGTACTCGCAGACCTGCAGCCCCGGCTGGACGGCATTCCAGGGCACGTGCTACATCTTCTTCCGGCCCAGTCCTCGCGTCACCTGGCCCATAGCCGTGCAGATCTGCGGCTTCTTCAACGGCCACCTGGTCAACATCGCCTCGCAGGCAGAGAACGACTTCGTGCTGAGCCTGGCAAATCGTGACCCGTGGATCGGAATCAACGACCGAAACACGGAGGGAGATTTCAGATGGGAAGACACACCGAGTAAGTCAGACGAGCCGATGTATTTTGTAAGCTTTGAGCGAGATTTGACTGAGTTACGATCTTTTGAAGTTTTGCATTTGAATGCGTCGTTTACAACCCAGGAAGTGCCTAGCGCCTGCCATAATAAGGTTTGTTTGGCACTGCCAATTTCACTGCGTTTCAAGCAGAATCTGCCAAATGTTTGGACCATTATCCACCAAGGGATCATCACTCTCCTTACATAAAATCGGCAAATTAGGAATTGCCTTCCACCCAAGATTACCGCTATAGATTCTGTTTCAGAATTTCGGACACAATTTCGCGCTCATTATAAACAGCATATTATATTTGCCTGCACAAGTCGCTTCACTAGTATATAAATCAATGATCATGTTCACTGTTAGGAGATCCCCCGATAGGCTATGCCTTTGAGAAATCCTTTTTAAAAATAATAAAATTAATATAGGAACATCAGAGATGAGGTCAAAGTACACTGAGATGAGGTCAAAGTACACTGTTGGTGAATCCAAGTTGTTGTACCTACTACTAGTACTAGTACAGAGAGTAGCCTCTGCATGGGACATGGCGTGCGAAGGTGAAACACCTGGCACATGTAGATCTACATGACTGTTGATAAGTATGAACACCTTTCAACACTTGACCTTTGCTCATGATTATTTTATGCTGTTCCTGTCCTTCTAATGTCGCCGGCCAGATGAAATTCCGCCCTACCTGAACTTCGCCGATGTCCTCGGTGTTCCTGACGACACACCACCGGGCGAGGACTGTGGTGTGATGTTCACCGGAACGAATTCACTTCTCGATGGCCTGTGGAACGACGAGAGCTGTGAAAACGCGCTCAAAGACGTGGTGTGCGAGCAGGGAGGTCAGCTGGAATAGGATTGAGGAGTTTAGGAAGATCTTGAAATTCTAAGTGCACTGATTTTGTGCCAGCAACACGTTATCCTCAGTGTCGTAGACATGTGTAGCATTTTGAAGACGTAGTTCTGACCGCTTGTGCAATTGAGTATTCTGTAGCAGAACTGTCGAAACCCGGGGCTTGGCTTGCGCTGACCATAATAAGCCATTCCGGAAAAGGCCCAGCCGTGACGTAGCGCACGGAGAAGCTGTGGGAGCAACTTGTACATGCCCTTATTCCATACATTACTCATTAGCCAGGTTCGTAGCACCGGGATTTCAGGTGACAAACGGACAATACGAGATGCTGGACAAGAAACGAATATCATTGCCAAAAAACCCGTCCGGCTTGGACGAATGGAGTAAATCGACGTTTTCGAAAATGTGTATAGACTTGTGCATGAAATTCAGAGCGGCCTACAGTCCATTCATTGGAAACTGGTACCCTAACGTTTTGGTGTCTCCCGTACATAGTTGTAGATATCGTGAACACAACAGTACATCCTGCATTGTGTGACCCGTGCAATTACTCCTTGCCACATTTGAGGCCAGAAAAGTCCAAGAACAGGCAAATAGAAATTCAGCCAGGTTTTACACAACTAGGACAGGTATGCCATGGCAAAATGTATGGAAAAGCAGATCCAAAACCCAAATTTTAGAGATTTAAATGGGGTTTTTGATCCTCAATTTGGCCCAAATCCGACTTTCAAAAGCCAGCGGGCCAGTTTCCGATGAATGGACTGTAGTATACAACACTGATCCCCCAGTGGTTTGGCACATGACAGCGCCGTATGTCGCAGTATTTCAAAATAGGATTGACTGTATATATTTTGCCTGTGAATTCCAGTGTCAGCTCCACCGCCTACGATCCCCGTACCCACCACACTACCAAACCTTGGACCGTGCCCGGTTGGCTGGACCGTGTTCCAGACCACGTGCTTTAAGTACTTCGACTCCAGTCCTAAGGTCACGTGGCCCGACGCCCGACAAGCCTGCATCAACGAAGGAGGCCACCTTGCCGACCTCCGCAGCGCAGAGGAGAACGCGTTTGCGCACTCGCTGATCGTGGTAAGGCTAGTGCATGCATGCGTGTGTGTGTGTGTGTGCATGTGTGTGTGTGTGTGTGTGTGTGTGTGTGTGTGTGTGTGTGTGTGTGTGTGTGTGTGCGTGTGTGTGTGTGTGTGTGCATGTGTGTTTGTCTATATGTGTGTGCGTGTCTATGTGTGTGTGTGTGTATGTGTGTGTGTGTGTATATCTATGTGTGTGTGTGTGTGTCTATGTGTGTGTGTGTGTGTGTGTATGTGTGTGTGTATGTGTCCGTGTTAGAGGTGCTTGTTGTAGGTTGCTTCCGCTGCAGATACACAATGGATGTAGCACGCCTTTGAGAGGATTCATCCCTAAAATCTTGATTCCAATACATATCCCTGTACTATCCTGAAGAGAAGGGAAGGAAAACGTTTGATAGATGAAAGGAAGTGTATTCTTGGTTGTGTGGATTTGCGTATTTGCTTGCGAAGGTATAGATTGCGAAACTATTTTCACCGCCTCCAAACTACTGCTCCAATACATGTACATACCCGGTATGTTGTCTTTCAAGACAACTTTTTTTTATTAAGAACAAGTCAAGTTGAGGCTAATGATATCAACGTCACATGTGTGGGTAGATACTAGCAGAGTTCTTGCACTGCATGCCTGTTTAAATGACCTGCTTTAAATGTGAATCTACCTAATGTCAGACTTTAGCAACTAGGCTCTAGCCCGAGTGTTTTGTGCTTGTTTGTGTGTGTGTGTGTGTGCGCGCGCGCGCGCGCGTGTGTGTGTGTGTGCGTGTGTGTGTGCGTGTGTGTGTGCATGTGTGTGTATGTGTCTATGTGTGTACGCGTATGCTCACTTGCACACACCTGCTGTGCATTTTCTGGCATTACGTCAGAGTGACTCGTGGATCGGCTACAATGACCTCACCACCGAGGGCGTGTTCCAGTGGGACTTCACGGGCGACAGTGGTCCGTTCACCAACTGGAACCTGCTGGGTGGAGAACCTAACGATAGGGCGCCGGGAGAGGACTGCGTGGTGATGTACTTCAACATACCGGGGCCGGGGGAGTGGAATGACGACAAATGTGAGCTAGTTCTCAGAGACTACCTATGTGAACAAGGTAAGTAACACTGCTTGGTCTTGTTCCTGAGGATGGGGTTTGCCATAACATATTTGTTCGATCCTGGAATAAACTTGCATGCGCTGGTATGTTGATCAGATACAGTGAAACCTGTCTAAGACAGCCTCTCAAGGGACCTTCAAAACGTGGTCTCTGTTACCAGGTGGTCTCCTTATCCAGGGTTATTTGACTGGAAATAGCATCCTTTGTTCCTGGTTTCAGTGGTCTTCTGGGACAGGACTGGTGGTCGCCTTATCCGAGTGGTCGCATCCGTGACACACTGTATACTTGTAGCTATTATTTTTCAATTGATTGTTGTACAGTTGAACATCGATTATCCGCACATCGACTATCCGACCATTCGATTATCCGTAACAGTTTTTTTGGGCGCACGTGCCGTAGAGTACGCACTGTGCATGTAGTGAGCCATTCAAAAAATACGAAAATTTTGAAAAGTAGCACCAAGAGTCCATAACCCAAGAGTATGCAACTGTGATCTCTTTTCTATGGGCCAACCGCGCGGCGCCGGCGCCGCGGCGCGCTGCCTTCATTACATCATTCAGCTGCAGTCCGCGCACTGCGGAAAATCAAACACCACACTTTCCCTCTAGTTTGAAATGAACTTTCGTACGGAACTGGAGTTCAGGCGCCAGAATTCAGAGATTGTGTAGGTACTGGAACGAATCGAGCAGAAACGGATGGGCTCGTGCGAGAAATTGAGAGTTTGAATGCATGCTTTCAGAGCGTGATGAGGGAAAGTTACGTAATGAAGGCAGCGCGCCACACATGCACCCATAATCACAGTTGCATACTCTTGGGTTATGGACTCTTGGTAGCACTCTATTCTATTTACAATGTACATGTACATGTATTTACAGTGTGTTTTCTTATCCGGAACATTTGCCTTATCTGAACACCGCCTGACAGTTGTCTGCCCCGAGGTGGTCGGATAATCGATGTTCAACTGTATACTAGAGAGACTGTTGTGAGAACGTATGCGGGTGTGAGTTGCCTCAGCCGGGCATTGTCAAAAACACACGGAGGGTAAGGCATGAAGAGCCCTTCTGAGTGCATTAAGTCGAAAAGGAGGTTCCAAATACTCTCAGAATAGAGTATAATGGCATGAAAACCTACAAATCCGAAGCTGTTTACTGGTACTACACCATCATCAGGGCTTAAATCAGGAATTTTGAGATCTGTGCGAGTCCTGAAATTATGGACTAACCTTTGTATTTTTTTTTTTTTAAGGATCAGTCGGGATTGGGTTTTTTTGTTTTTTTGTAGTCCCCTATGTTCTCTTGTCGTTGTTGTTGTTGTTGTTGTTGTTGTTGTTGTTGTTGTTGTTGTTGTTGTTGTTGTTGTTGTTGTTGTTGTTGTTGTTGTTGTTGTTGTTCTCTTCCATTCTATGTAGGCATGTGCACTTTCGTAAAAAAAATACAAATAAGCATTTCTGATCAAAAGCATGGCCGTCATCATCTTCTGAATTGACTGAATATGAGTCATCCTCTTCTGGTTTTGATATTGTGTTGTAAGGTTTTCTGACGAGTCCGCGGATAGGAGTGCCGGACACGGCCTGCCCGCCTGGCTGGTTTGGGATCAACCAGAGCTGCTATCTGCCCGTCGACATGCCGCAGACATTCCCGCAGGCCGACCTAGCGTGCACGAGCGTCGGCGGATTCCTAGCCAGTATACAGTCGGAGCAGGAAAACGCCGACGTGCACTCGCTTATCACGGCCGACTCCTGGATTGGTTACAACGACAGGCTCGTCGAGGACACGTTTGTCTGGGTGCAGGGCGTGCCGACCACCTACACGAACTGGTTTTCCGGCGCGCCAGACAATCTACCCCCGGGTCAGGATTGTGCTCTGATGTACTTCAATTCGCCTGGCCCGGCACAGTGGAACGACCAGGCTTGCGGCGAGCAAAGGGCGTATGTGTGCGAGAGAGGTAAGAACCAGCCGTCACCTTAGCGAATAATAGTAATCATACAGTTTGCATACAGAAGCCAGTGTGGCTAGTTTTTTGTATTTCGTATTTGTATTTATGGATTCTCCACAGTTCCACTTCTATACTGTGAGTAATGGAATGGCGGACTGAGACACCTTGCTCAGCCTTATCAACAGAGCTCAGAGTGACACGCCAAACTAGTCATTCTTTGCTAGCAGGCACGTAGCCTGCATGGGGCACGTGGGCACATGCACCCCCCCCCCCCCCCACCCCTAAAAACTTTGACCTAGGTTCAGCATGCACATAATGACCATGAATGACATGCACCAGCCATCCTACACATAAGTATGTGCATCCCCTAAAAGGGGACCAGCTACGCCCATGGTTAATCTGAACAAATGCGATGCTCATTGAAACCGTGACTCTCAGCTTTTGTACTGACATAGATTGCCCATTAATTTTGATAAACTTCTGCAAAGGAGATTTGGCGACATATTTGGGGACTTTTCAATCACCCGAATCATTTCTTCGCTAGGAATAACCAGCTGGGCCTGACACATTATCAGGATGAAAGTCAGTTATTTGAGAAGTTATACTCGTAAATGTGTTCTTCGAAGTGGTATTCTTGTATGTCACAATTGATGTGAAATCAGGCCAATAAAGTTCATGAGTCCTGGTGCTGGCGGTAAAGATATTGAATCTGTCGCCTTTTCTTCCTGTAAGAATATCAAGAATCATCATGCTGAACATTTCAATGCAAGAACTTAAAAGTGTTTAACTGTGTGTCCAGCGCTAGTACATCCAGCTGTCTTAATGTCTGTGGTTCTCGTAGCCATGGCTGACAGATCAATCCTATTTTAAGCTCGGAGTTGCACTGATGAGGCCTCATTGGCCGAAACAGTCTGGCTGTCTGCATCATTGAGTAGCTGTGTGTCTATGCGTGTGTGTGTGTGCCCTGCAGCCCGTGTGTTTGTTACCTGCAACTCCACGCACATGGGTTTCCACGTGGCGCGGGGACTGCTCAGGTCGTTCGTCGAGCAGCAGAACCTTCACCTGAATGACCCCACGTGCCGGATCCAGGCAGACGACGAGTTCTATTTCCTGACGTGGCGGCTGGACGAGTGTGGCAACACCATCAACTTCACCAACAACGTCGATTACGTAAGCTCAGCAACTGCGCAATCAATGCATTGGCTGACACCTGCCTTTAGTGGCAACTGAATAATAATAATAATAACTTTATTAGGATGACCCAAAGGCTGACCGCCTATCGTGGGGTCCGTCGCATTGAAGGATGATGGTACAAGAGAGTACAGATTGGGAAGGGTGGGGGGGGGGGGCGGGGGGGGGGGGGGGGGGTATGATCGGGGTCTTTTATACAGTCTGTGAATGTTCTTTTCCAGCATTTCTGAAGATGTGAAAATGCAAACCTGCATTGCTGGGACATGGTTTGCATTGAAAGGGTGCAGCTGCCACTGGAAATGTTCCTTTTGATCGGTTTTATGACAACGAGTGAAAATTGGCCTCTAAATCAGACAGCATAATGGCAGCACTGCGTGTCTATAAAACTCTGCTCGACCTGCAGACGCAAATTATCAACTTTGTCCAGCACACGCCCACGCAAGATGGCATAACTCGCTTCCGCTCCTTCGAGGTGAAAGTGATCTGCTTGTTGCTCAACCTTGGCAATTCCAGTGCAGGTAAGGCCTACACCATGCTGATGAGAAGCCCATGGTATGAGACGCAGTGGTGCATGCACAGATGTGCGAGCTACACCCCTGAAAGTTCCCGGCTCTCCATACACAAGGTTGCAGATCATTCAGTATTTTTTATCAGGGGACACACTTGTGCACGGCTCTACAGAATAACAGGAAGGGAAGGGGTTTAAGTCCACATAAGACAGGAAGGGCGGCTGAAATCTGTTAGTTGTGCCGAAGTGTTTTGTGACGGTGGTGGTGGTGGTCGTAGGTGTGGGAATGACTGATTGAGGTTAGATCGTGCCGGACCAAACGGGATGAGGCTGCTACAGGCCTCCATTTCAGTGGTATATCCATGCAAGTGTTTGTTTTTTAAGACTACATCCTGAACTAGTCTCTCGATGTCTTTTGTACCCTTAGGTCCACTTGAGCCTCAGGGCTTGGAGCTGAACACGTCGGCCGTGGTCCAACCGGTAGTTGGTTTTGGCGACATCGGGGCACGCCTGTCGCTCACGGACGACTCCTTTGCCAGCCTCATCACCGTCTATCCGCACCAGGTGACCCTGAACGATGAGCTCTTCTTTCGCATCCGCTTCCTGTCGAACTTTGGCGACCTGATGGTGTTTGCTCGGCGCTGCTACGCCACGCCGTTCCAGGACCCGTTCAGTACGCCACAGCACGACCTCATTATCGACCAGTGAGTATGCACTTGTACGTATGTATGTCCCAGAACCATTATGGACGTAGGGGCGCTGAATGTGTCGCAAGGCAGTAGCAGCAAAAGTAATAATAATAATAATAATAAGAAGAAGAAGAAGAAGAAGAATAGTACAGGTCGCATGTCTCCCAAAATGGGTTCCACGCATCTGTCAACTGTTTCATCATGAAATAAAAGTAAAAGAGAAAAAATTAACATGCTGACCAGTGAGTAGTGATGATGATACAGTGTATAAGAAATGATGTCATTGATGATGTAATATGATCTGCGACAGGATCCGGACAACCTGTCATAATTATTTTTCTCGTTAAAAAGTCTGGTGAAATTCAGATATTGTATTTCGCTTTGGTCGGAGTCAATCAAATTTGACCAAAATTCATTATTGTAATTTTGACATCATCACTTTCAATCTGTACTGCTACGTATATTACCATGGTATCAATATCCCATAAACGTGCTCTGTATTCGTGACCTTGTGCCGTTCTTTTTTATGCAGTTGTCCTGTTGACAGCACGGTTGTCATCCGTCCGGCCACCATGAACCTGTTCCGCTTCAGCGTGCGCGCGTTCCAGTTCGTCAACGAGGTGGCTGAGGTCTTCATCCACTGTGAGGTTCAGGCATGCCCAGTCGGCGTTGCCGGCAGCCGTTGCAGCATGGGGTGCCAGGGGTTGCCAGGCAGCGGTGGTAGGAAGAAGCGCCAGGCGTCCGCGACGGAGGAGGGGGCAGCGGTGTACCCCACAACCCTCGTCATGTCTCAGGGCCCGCTTGTCAGTAAGCATCACTGAAAACAATAATCAATTTTTTTATAAAAGGCACACCCATTTCCATAACAATTCATTGCTCCTAATGCCTGATGCTGGCCATGTGCCGAAACGTTGTGAAATAACGGAACTGGATCGGATGTTCCGCGCTATAGCAATGGGTGTGGATTTTCAAAAACCAAAAAACAGCATTTAACACTAAAATTGTCCGTCCTTCGTTAACTCGGATACTTGGCCAGTATGGACTCGGATGGAGAGCCAATGATGAATTTATAAAAAAAGAGGACCAAGCATTATCGCGTAACTTAGCCAGTAATAAAATTTTGTAAAATACCAGCTTGTCAGTTTCATGCCCTGTTATCGCACTTACTGACTTTTTGAAACCTATTATCCTCACGAGGGCCTGTGGCCAATAAGAGAAAAATAATTACATTTTTTGGTAAATCCACTGCAACCAATGTGGGTGATGGACACGAAACTCGAAATTCATGACGTGTGGACTTACGCCTGGGTTATATAACTTATACGCTTTGGGAGCTTCGCGAATGGCGTTCATATGCACGTGGGTGGGGATTTCATACTACTACTCTGAAATTTATAATTGATATAGCTACAAGCAGGGCTAATTGCACTGTAAGCATTTCCTATATGTCGACATGTATGTGTAAAATGTTACACGATGATCGCAAGGCACACAACGAAAGGGAAAGAGAGGATTTGCTCAGAACAGTTTTCTTGTTGCATTCATCAGTGAATCTACGTAACAATAGAATGGGGACTACCTGAAACTAATCTTGTATGGACAAATAAAAGTGAAAGAAGGGGGAAAAAGGAGCGAAACAAAAAGGTGATTATACTAGATGTATTCAGCGGGGGACAATTTCAGCAGGTAACAACATGCATGTGGGGATCATCAGCATCAGCAAAACAAAGCAAACCTGAACAGACGGAAGGAAGTTTCGTTGTGAGCCTTGCGATCATCGTATAACATTTACACATATTATGTACATGTCGACATACAATAGGAAATGCTTACTGTGCAATTAGTCCTCCTTGTAGCTGCATTAAAACTGCTGTCTCCCAAACGCTTGTTTTCAAAATATTGATCATTGGCAAAAATGCTGCCTGTTTGGTAACAATCTGTGCCTAACTTGTGTGCCTGTCTTTATCGACTTCTCTGCAGGAAAATCCAATGGTGTCAGACTCAAATCATCAACAGCAACCTACCAACTCTGTATGCTGGCTGTGTTCTTGACCTTGGTGATCACGACAACATAATTATTAGCTGGTTCGCGTGAGGGAGTCGTAAGATTACGACTCCTAGTAGAGATTGGTGTAGGGATTACATTGACAGCTGGTCTGTTGACGTTTACTTGATAACTTTGCCCAATTTTTCAATTACATGTATTGCCTTGCCTTGCACGTGCAGGTGTGCCAAGACATTTTTAGGCGTTGAGAACCGTAGCCCGCTCAGAAAGTTTGTCTCGTTTCTGTGAAGAATGCCATACTCATTGATGCAAGCATAATGTTTTTGCTAACGCCATGGCTTCAAATTCAGTGTTCTTCGAGCAGCCTGAAGGGCAGAATTGCATCTGGAAGATACATGTAGCTATTTTACTAAGTACGAGTACTCGCAGACTCCACTGCAGCCACTTACACATACATGTACATATAGGGTCCCTCAACTCAAACACTCTGACTCAAACACGATCTCTTTGCTGCATACATCATTTGAAACGTTCAAGATAGCCATTGCTGAGAAGGTTCACCTCTGTTTTGTTGAAATTAGCGTTTAGATGATAATTGTGGTGTCAGAGCTCGCACAAAAATCACAGCAGAAAATATACAATGTTATTCTGTTGAAAGTCACCATGGCCGCTGAAAGATTTTGTGTGCAATGCTAGTATTATCTTGTTTTCACAAGGTTTGGAGAGTGTACAGGATGTATGGATCTTATTTTCAGCACTTTTAAATGGAGCATATTTCCCTGGTCCGTGCATTGATACAGTTCTTCGTACATAGTTAGAGTAGACGTCTGTATTCATTATAGTAAAATTGAATTGGTGCAAATTTGTAACGTGGAAATTGTGGGCACAAATTATGCGTTCCAGTTCACCAACTAAACCAGATTTTGAACAGTCAGACGTGCATAACTTGTGCCCACAATTTCCATGTTATTTATTTATTTATTTCTGCACCTCGTGGCATGTCAAGACAGCCAATTGAATTGAGGAGAGGGTGAGACCAACCACGGAAGAAGAGAAAAAAGAAAATGAAGAGCACGTACACAAAGTAGGAAGGGATTAGCAACTTACAAAGCAATGGGATGCTCAGCGAGCTTTTTTCCTTGGCTCACCAATGAACTGGTGCAGTTGACTAATATGGTCGGAAGTCGCTACTCAGCCTAAGTTCTGAAACAGGGGTATAAACTAAAATGACGACCATGATTCGCCACGGATCGAGCCATGCTAGCTGCACAGTGCAATCTCCGTTATCTAATCACGGTGTAGTCTACAACCACACAACCTCCCAAACCAGAGGCCAAACATTCAGTAGTCAGTGACTCTCCCCTCATTTAAGACATAATTATGTCCCGGCCAGGCCGTATCCTGCCTGCTTTTGGCGCTAGCTGCTCATAATTTCTCCTTGGGCACCCTGTAAGAAGGCCATAGGCCTGTTGAGTATACCCAAGTAAAATAATAAAGCTTTGAGAACGGGTTTATTAACAGCACCAATTGGGCCAATCGCGTGAAACCATGAAGTACGAGTAAAAAGCAAAAACTGAAAAAGACAACCCAAATTCGGGGGGGGGGGGAGAACACTCAGTGGAAATGCAAGTTTAAACACAAAAGCTTCACAAGAAATCGTTACCTACTAAGCTTGCCTACCGGTAATAGCGGTATGCAAAGACTAAGTCACGTCTCTACACGTGTCAGCACAGCCCGCGGCAGTATGCTGCGAAGGGGCTCCCGACTAGGCTTTTCCGGATTATGCGTTTTTTCTTGGTCTAAAATGGAAATGGAAAGTGTTTTGAAAAACCCCTATAAATCAATTTTTTCTCTAAAGAAAATGCAAAAATTTACCCAAAAAGCACAAAAAATGCCACCGTTGCCATGGTAACAAAATGGCGACAGCTAGTCGCGTGACACTTGGCACCAGGGAGTCGTAAAAGCCCGGGAGAGGACACGGCACACATTCCCAGAAAACATCTTTGCCTCGCGCTGCCGGGGAACGCTGCCAGGGAACGGTGTTGCGAGGCAAGGAAATTATTATTTTCGAAAATTGTGATGTCTTCTTGAAATACTAATTGGGACATTCTCCGATTTCTCTTAGAGCACGGAGACGATTGCTCCGTCGAGTCTTCTGATCTCTATTTTCATCCTCATCTTCCAGCTGCCTCACTCATTCTCTCTCAGTTTATCGAAGTTAATTTATTCTGAGGCGATGGAAATGCAAGACAAATCCCTAATTGTACTTCACTTTTATTTGAGTTGGGGTGAACGAAATGAGATTTGTGGAAAATGACGCCACTTCCCGTGTTAGCCGCTGGTCGTATCATACAGCCCATATTCCATTGCAGGTGATGGGCCAACGTTCGTGTTGAGATCCGCTGAGTTTCCTCGTACTCGTGGAGTTGAATTTGTGGCAGAAATTGCACTGAATTGCAGTCAAATGGTTGTGAATGAAACGAGATTTGTGGAAAATGACGCCACTTCCCGTGTTAGCCGCTGGTCGTAGCATACAGCCCATATTCCATTGCAGGTGATGGGCCAACGTTCGTGTTGAGATCCGCTGAGTTTCCTCGTACTCGTGGAGTTGAATTTGTGGCAGAAATTGCACTGAATTGCAGTCAAATGGTTGTGAATGAAACGAGATTTGTGGAAAATGACGCCACTTCCCGTGTTAGCCGCTGGTCGTAGCATACAGCCCATATTCCATTGCAGGTGATGGGCGAACGTTCGTGTTGAGATCCGCTGAGCTTCCTCGTACTCGTGGAGTTGAATTTGCGGCAGAAATTGCACTGAATTGCAGTCAAATGGTTGTGAATGAAACGAGATTTGTGGAAAATGACGCCACTTCCCGTGTTAACCACTGGTCGTATCATACAGCCCATATTCCATTGCAGGTGATGGGCGAAAGTTCTTGTGGAGATCCGCTGAGCTTCCTCGGCGTACTCGTGGATTTATGAATTTGTGTCAGAAATTGCAGTCGAGTGGACTTCTGTGCGTGTGTTGTGAGTAAATCGCGACGGCTCCCTTCCTTCAGCATCGTCAAAACGCAACATAGAGCATTATTACGCACTCGTTCCATGATTCATGATAATGCCTGGATTCTTTTAAAAACAATCAATGTGTGTTCCCTATCTATCTACATTGTACATGGTTGCAGGTCGTTATTTATAAATCTTGATAATTTCAACACTTTTCTACTCGTATACTGAGTACGCGGTGACTTGAGCCGTTTAGGAAACGGAAGTCTTGGCGAGTGTACAAAAGGTAAACCTATCATTTGTACTTCATAACGGAATTGTGCACAAAAATGCACACACACGTTCGCGCGCACACACACAAGCACACACACAAACACTGTACAAACACACACAAAAGTACAAGCACATGTGCACATACACACGCCTCCCCCCCCCCCCCACACACACACACACACTCAACTCCCCACCCCTGTACTGAGTCTGACAGACATACAATCATGTTTATCCTTCCTTCGCCACCAGTTTCGGATAATGGTGTCAACAACGAGTTGTAAAATATTGGTATTTTAGGACTCCCTGCCCTGAAGACAAGCACAGCGCCGTGGATCGAGCAGATCCGGCCGCGCCGGCCTAGCGTGCTTCACTTTCTGGCCGAGGCAAACATCGTCCGCGTGCGCGCATCCCGTGTCCTCTCCCGGGCTTTTACGACTCCCTGCTTGGCACTATGGTGATCATTCATGGTGATCGTGAAGTACCTATCGGGGTGCGGCGATCTTTTCATTGCAGTTTGCAAAAAATGATGCGGCAATAGCAAAAAAATGATGCGGCAATAGCAAAAAAATGATGCGGCAATAGCAAAAAAGTGATGCGGCAATAGCAAAAAAAGGACTGCGGCAATATAGAAACCTGTGTACGGCTCCTGTGCGACTTTGCATGTAACGCCCTGCGTGCGGCAAACATGTGCCAATGTAACGCTTCATGGCCTCACTGCGGCAACATAATTATATTGCCAGTACGGTAGTCAAACCCTGCATGCAGCCCATTGTCCAAAATGATGATGTCATTGATGATGTATCGTTGTAAGCCCAGTGTGTAGTCTTGATGAAAACTACTCGACTCCTTGGCCTCCTGTCCTTGGCCTCCTGTCCTTAGCACGGATGCATGCCACATTTTATAATAATAATTATTATTAATAATAATGACGCACAACATGCCACATACTAATACATTGTAGGCATTGTTTCCTTGAACATTGGACGAGATGAGCTGACACTATTTTGACAGCACAAGTGACAGAAAGGTGTTCGCCCACCCATGCTTTGCCCAGTCCAGCCAGCCTTCTTGCGACACCTTGTCAGCAGTTCAACGAACCTGGCTAGGACCATGCGAACTGGACAATGGCCTTTGCTACACAAGTACAAGTCTGCGACTAGACCTTAGCCTCAGGGCAAAGCAATGCCCAAGACGCATCAGGACCTACAGGTACGTACAATGTACATGTACATGTACATGTACGTGAGGAAAGTGTTTGGCAAACTTTGGGAAAAGAGAAAACTCGGAATTCTAGCGAAGACTCTTCGTTGTGGTTGGCGTTTCGCTGTGCTACAGTTATAATGATTTCAACCTGGTTCGATTCCTACTCATACTAGTGTGTGTGTTTGTGACACATATTGTTGGCTATCTGGCTATCAAATTAATAATAATTCCCTTACAACTTCTGAACGCGGTTTCCGATTCCGCTTCGCAAGTAACAGTTTGTTAGTTTATACTTCGAAGTACATGTACAACGTGTCAATGACCTACAGTCGTGTACATGTACAATGATGTACAATGATGTACAATCATGTACAATGTAAAACAGAGAGGTTCCAGGCCGTCCAAGAGAGGGCTAAATACTGTACCGAGAGGCAGAGCTGGTTCAAACAATAAGAGGACAGAATGATGATCATTCTGATGATCGCTTAGTGCGTGAAACTCGGAGTCAAAACACTTCCCCTGTCCTCTTCTTGTTTGTACATGTACATGTACATGTAGGGTCGTCATTTAGATGCCGGGCACCACTATTAAATATTATTTGTATTAGAATACTGAGTACTTGCACATGTGTTTCTGTACAAGTACTGGAAGTACAGGTTCCTGCACGAGTATGAGGGCAGTACCGCGGAATCCTGCCCGCGCCGCGATAGCGGCAAGGGCTGGATGAGCAGCGGTGCTGACCGAGTATGAGTGACTGGAACGTGTTTCCCGTATGCACCCAAGCCAAGGAGATCACTCACAATCTTTGACGTTTGAGTTTACATGAACCATTCTGTGACTTGACTCGAGTCCTGTATGGCTGTATGAGGCTGTGTCAGTGTGAGCTGAGTGAGAGTGACTTCGACAACCTTAACCGGACACGGACTACAGACTCAGTACACGACTTTTGCATGTACTTTCAGACCACAGAAGCTTGTCATTGAAATGGTAGACTCATGAGTGGATTCTGTCCACTGCCCGTCGTCAAGTGACGACGGGCAGTGGATTCTGTCCACTGCCCGTCGTCAAGTGACGACGGGCAGTGGATTCCGTCCACTGCCCGTCGTCACTTGACGACGGGCAGTGGAACTAGTTCCATCACCATTCATCAGGCAGGATCGCGCTTTCCAGCCCGCGTAATTTGATCTGTCATTGGTCGACTCCAAGGCGACAGTCATGTGA